TCAGTGCAGACCACACAGACACACAGGACATCAGTACAGACCACACATAAGTACATCAGTGCAGACCACACAGGACATCAGTACAGACCACACAGGGCATCAGTGCAGACCACACAGACACACAGGACATCAGTATAGACCACACAGGACATCAGTACAGACCACATAGGACATCAGTACAGACCACACAGGACATCAGTACAGACTACACAGACATCAGTACAGACCACACAGGACATCAGTACAGACCACACAGGATATCAGTATAGACCACACAGGACATCAGTACAGACCACACAGACACTCAGAGAACACTATAAGCAACTCTGTGCCCATAAACTCAGTGACTTAAAAGAAATAGACCTATTCTTAGAAGAATTCAAACTACCAAAAGTTGCATAAGAAATAACCTAAATAGTCCTGCATTTAATTGTAAACAAAACAAAACAAAACAAAACAAAAAAAACCAAAGTGTAAAAAAACCCCAAAACCTTCCAACAGAGAAAATGCCAGGTCCAGATGGCTCCAGTGGTAAATTTTACCAAATATTTTAAGTGGAAAATGTTTTGGTTTTTTTTTGTTGTTGTTATTTTTAAATTACATTTATTTATTGTGTGTGTCTGTGCACACTTAAGCATTGCAGTGTATATGCCATGGCGTGTGTATAGAGGTCAGAGGGCAACTTTTTCACTATGTGGGTCCTGTAGGATTGAACTCAGGTCCTCAGGCTTGGTGGCAAATTCCTTTACCTGCCAAATCATTCATTCATTCATTCATTCATTCATTCATTTTTGAGACAGGGTCTCTCTATGTAGTCCAAATTCCTGCTTTTTTCCTGAGTACTGGGATTACAAGTGTATGCCATCACACCTGGCTTATTTTTTTTAATTTTAAATAAGTAATCTATTTATCCAATTTTATAGACTCTTAGTTATAAAATAGTTGTTTTAGTCACTGTTCTATCGCTGTGAAAAGACACCATGACTAAGGCAGCTATTATAAGAGAAAGCGTTTCACTGGGGGCTGCCTACAGTTTCAGAGGTTTAGTTCATTATCATCATGGCAGGAAGCATGGTGGCCTGCAGGCAGACACTGGAGCAGTGGCTGAGAATTACATCCTGATCCACAGGCAGAAAGAGAAATCAGGGCTTGGCATGGGCTTTGGAAACCCACCCCCAGTGACACACTTGCTCTATCAAGGCCACACCTCCTAATCCTTTCAAATAGAGCCACTTCCTGCTGACTCAGCATTCAAATATACATGAACCGATGGGGCCATTCTTATTCAAACCACCACAGTAATATAAATTAAAAGTCAATGGTGATGCACACCTTCAATTCCAGCACCCAGGAGGCAGAGGCAGGTGGATCTCTATGAGTTTAAGGCCAGCCTTGTCTACAAAGGGAGTTCCAGGACAGACAAGGCTGTTACACAGTGAACACAGTGAAACCTTGAAACCTTATCTCAAAAAACCAAAAACCCAGAAGTCTCCTATTTCACAGTGACGTCTTAGTCCATAGTGGGCCACATAATACAAAAGTGGCTCCATACAGCCTGTGTGTGTAGCAGGCTAACACTGTCGGGTTTATGTAAGTACATACTAGGATGAAATCACTTCACGACGTGTTTCTTAGAGTTCATCCCCACTAGGAGTGACCCACAACTGTATTTGTCTAGTATTTAAATACTTATTTAAAGTGTCCATAGGGGCTGGAGGGATGGCTCGGCTGTCCAGCATGGACTACTCTTTCAGAGGACCAGAGTCCAGTTCCTAGCAGTCACGTTTGATGGCGCACAGTCATCAGTAACTCCAGCTCGAGGGGATCTGGCGCCCTCTTTTGGCCTCCAGGCTCCTACATGCATGCACGCACATGTAAGCGCGCGCGTACACACACACACACACACACACACACACACACACACACACACACGGGCACACACACACGGGCACACACAGACATACACAAAAATAAAAACAAATCTTGCTTACATAGAAATAATACCACAGGGGTTGGAGAGAGATGTCTCAGAGATTAGAAGCACTGACTGCTCTTGCAGAGGACCTGGCTTTAGTTCCCAGAACCTACATGGCAGCTGGGGTGTAACTCACACATGCCTGTAATTCTGGTCCCAGGACATCTGATGCCCTCTTTGGGCACTGCACTCAATGTTGAACATACAGGCATGCTCTTACATATATTGAATAATTATATATATTAAATATATTAAATAAAAAATAAAATTTAAAAAAGAAACACACACACAAAAACCTATTACCAGTTCTCCAAAATCTCTTCCAGGGGATCGAAGAGGCAGGACTCCTCAGCTCAGTGTGTAACACTGGCATTCCCCAATATCTAAGAAATATTCGTCAGGAGTCATGCCACAGATCTCAGCTGAACCTCCCATACGTGGCCTCATGGTACATGAGCTGTACCAAATGCTGAGGATACAAGAAGGAGCTGAGGGGCTGAAGACGCGGCTCCGTGGTTGAGTACTTACTGCTCTTCCAGAGAACCCGAGTTCAGTTCCCAGTCCCCACACATTGATTAGCTCACAACCACTAGTAACTCTGGGTCCCAGGATCTGACACCCTCTTCCGGTCTCCACAGGCCACACATTTTTTAAAAGATTTATCTATCTATCTATCTATCTATCTATCTATCTATCTATCTATCTATCTATCTATCTATCATGTATGCAATGTTCTTTTACCTGCACGCCAGAAGAGAGCGCCAGATGGTTGTGAGCCACCATGTGGGTGCTGGGAATTGAACTCAGGTCCTCTGAAGAGCAGCCAGTGCTCTTAACCTCTGAGCCATCTCTCAAGCACCACAGACTACACACACACACACACACACACACACACACACACACACACACACACACACACACACAACAGACACACACTTCAAGAATTAAAACAGCAGAGCAGTTAGATTCCTATCCAAGCAGGGCTTATCTGGATTCCAGCATTGTACTAATAAGCGAACAACACTAGCTGGTAGGTTATTGGGACACTGTGGGAGCAGAAGCTGGGTGGAATTCAGATCTCTGGGGGGTAGGAGTGGGGAGAATGCGTGAACAGACATGAGAAGCCTAACTGAGACAATTCAGAGCAAAATTGCAAAGCCCTGTGGGTAGAGGGAGGCTTGTATCAGAAGAGGTGGGGCTGAGGTACATACCCCAGCCTCCGACCCCAACCTCCCTCCTGGAGGCAGGAGAAGGTACCCCCAGGGGTAGCAACAGGAAGGAGGAAACATGGCTAGCCTTAGGGCCCCGGTGGTGGGTTGTGAGGGCCTCAGCTGACAGCTGCTCTGCCTAGCTAGCTCAGTGCCAGATAGGGAGGTCCTCTGTAAGAGCCCCTGGACAGAAGTCCTCCTCATGATCCCCCGTGACCACACCTGTCCGCAGTCGACATGACACCTCCCCAGGTTCTGGGCCTCCTTAATCCCTGCGTTAGCCTGGTGGCTCCTCTGGAGCCCCCTGCTTAGCCACAGAGCCTTGAACATCCACAGCGTGCTTTTCAGAAAGTGCTTTTCAGAAAGTATCCGTGTAGACAGACTTGGACATCCAAGACTCTAGTGAGTTCCTCAGTCACTAGTGTGTGAGTTCACATTTGCAGCCACCCACTCACACCAACTCCATGCCATCTTTACTAGACCTCTGAGTTCTGTTCCATCCTCACTTTATAGATAGGAAAGGCAAGCTTGGGCATGTTCTCGGTCATCAAGGGGTGGGGATCTGCAGATGTCCTCTTTCCTTGCTGAATGCCCTGGGGGACCCAGTTTTGATCTCTACTTCAGCTCACAACTCACTGTAACTCCAGATCCAGGGGATCCAATGCTTTCTTCTGTCCTCTACAACAAGAGGCATGGATGGTGCACATACATTCACACAATCAAAACACTCAAACACATAAAATAAAAGAAATCTTTTTTAAAAAAAATTAAGAAAAAGAATCTGGAAAGACCCATATTGTAGGGCTAACAAACACCTACAGGTCCAGCTCCAAGAGGCTTCCGTGCCTGTGACCTCCTAAGGCACCTGCACTCAGCTGCACACACACACACACACACACACACACACACACACACACACACACACACACAAATAACTAAAAATAAATAAATCTGAAAAAAAGGAAAAGATGAAAGAAAGAAGGAACTCAAGAGTTGGAAGCTGGTCGAGGTGACACACGCCTTTAATCCCAGCACTGGAGAGGCAGAGGCATGCAGATCTCTTGAGTTCAAAGCCAGCCTGGTCTACAGAGTGAGGTCAGCCAGAGCTACATAGAAGCCATTGAATTGATCTAGGCTTGGAGACTGGCGGGTGAAAAGGCAGAAGTGACCAGGGTGGTGCCCTGGAAAGGAAGGATCTCAGGTGGGGTGAGTGGAGAGTGAGAAGGGTAGATGCTTGTAGCCAAGGAAAGACCAGCTGAGGAGTAGTGTGCTCGAAGCATTAGCATTTACAGTGGGGGATCCCACTGACAAGGAGTGTCTGAAGAGTGTATCTGGAAGTGGCTGGAGAAGACCCTCCCCAGCTCCCAGATCAGAGAGGATACTGAGTTATGGAGAGCAGGCGGTGGTGATCCTTGGCTGATGGTGACCTCCAGCAGGCACCGAGTGGGCGGCAAACTTCTCGCCTACTGGTGTGGGGACTGGCTTGTTTTGGGCATGGTAATCGGATGCCATGTGGGGAGTAGGACTGTGCAAGGTGATGCAGGTGATGAGTCCCTCCTTGCCCTCATTGCCTCCTGCCACAGGGTTCGTGGGTCCCCAAGAAAGAGCCTTACGCCCGGGAGATGCTGGCGATCTCCTTCATCTCTGCGGTCAACCGCAAACGGAAAAAGCGGCGGGAGGCGCGGGGCCTGGGCAGCAGCACCGATGATGACTCCGAGCAGGAGGCACACAAGGCTGCGGCGGCGGGGACGCAGGAGCCACCCGAGGAGCAGCTGCCCGGCCCCGCAGCCGAGGAGGCCCCCGGTCGCCTCAGCCCCCCGACGGCACCCGACGAGCGGCCTGCGGCGGACACGCGCTCCATCGTCTCGGGCTACTCCACCCTGTCCACCATGGACCGCAGCGTGTGCTCGGGCACCGGCGGGCGGCGCGTGGGCGCCGGCGACGAGGCGGACGACGAGCGCAGCGAGCTGAGCCACGTGGAGACGGACACGGAG